GAGAGGGAGGAGAGGGAGGAGAGGGAGGAGAGGGAGGAGAGGGAGGAGAGGGAGGAGAGGGAGGAGAGGGAGGAGAGGGAGGAGAGGGAGGAGAGTCACCATCGCCATGGCAATGACAGAAATCACATCCCCACCTTCTGTCAGGCCACGTGTGGCAACATGTGTGTGCTGAGCTGCTCTCCCCAGGGCTGGAGCAGCTCTGGGCTCCAGACAGGCAGGAAAACACCGGGGTCTCTGCAGATCTGCAGTGCTGGGTCCTGCCTGGCAGCTGCACCCCCGTGTCCCTGGGGACAGGGGGGAATAAAGGGGAACAAGGGGAAATTAAGGGGGGGACAGGAGGGGAATAAAGGGGAACAAGGAGGGGACAGGGGAGACAAAGGGGAATAAAGGGGAACAGGAACAGGAACAGGGGGGATTTGGCCCTTTAGAAATGGGGATGGGAGCTCTGGGGCAGGTCCTGCCATCCTGAGGATGCAGAGGGGCTGTGGGGGGCTCTTCCCTTCCCCAACCCTTCCCCTCAGCCACCAGCCTGTGATTTACAGCTTCGGGTTTGGAAATGCTGCACCCCCAATTCTCCCTCGTCAAAACGCCAATAACCCCGTTAGATGTGAAACTCCAAGAACTCCTGCAGGTGTGAACACAATTATCACAGTTCCAGGGTACAAGCTATTGTGTAACTGGGGAATTCCAGGACAACTGTTGCTAAGATACAAAAAAAAAAAATAAAAAAATCTATCCAATATTAGGAGGCTCATATTTAGTTGTTATCTCTTTATATAGATGAATTAATTAGAATTATTATTACTATTCTTTTTTTTTTTTTTTTTGTAGCCTGCAATACCCCCGCAGAAATTAATTTAGAGGGCAGAACATCCCTACTGAAAGAGTTAGTAGAAGAAATGCAGAGCATGCCTCTCAAGAAGCTGTTACAAAGGAATTAGTTTAAAGGGCAAGGGTTATAGATCTCACATTAGCAGGTTTGGGGTTTTTTGGTTTGATTAAAATTTTTTTTTTTTTTTAATTGAACAAACTTACCAAAGGTCTCTGAATGTTAAATAAAAAGTGAAAAAGAAAAGAAAAGAAAAGCTTGTTATAGCCAGTTATTTAGAAAACAGAAGACACACACAAGACACAAAAGGTTTTAGAGTTTGAGGAAGGTGGCTGAAGGCTGCCTCCCTTGTCCCCCCTAGATGGCAGCTGAGCAGAGGACATGGGCTTTGCCTTCTGCTTTAAATGCCCCAAGATAAGCAGAAATATCCATTTTCCAAGGCCACTTAAAACTCTTGTCCAACGTGGATCTCTAAGGCTGAGATGTTCACGATGTCTATGGGAAGCAGGAACCCAGGCAGAGCTTCTTTCTATTCTCCTGTGCACTCAGCCCAAACCCCCAAGCACTAAAAGATTCCCAACTGCTTGGAAATTTTATCTGGAGACGGAAAAGGGGAAGCAGAAACATCCGAGAGAGGAAAACCACAGTGGTTAATGATGGATCACCCGTGTGTTGATTGGAGTGAAGACCCACATTCCAAATTGGGTTCCTGGGCTGGTGGGAAGATCATGACCATGGTCTCAGAGGTCTGTTTGCACTGCCAGCCAAACACTCAGATTTAACACAAATGAGAACCAAATCCGGGCCTGGAACCCGAGCTCACAGAGCTCCTTGTCTGACATTTCACTTGTTCCTTTTAACGAGCTCATTTGTGTATTTGTCACTAAATCAGAAATTGATAAAAATTCAGTTCTTAACACCCCTGTCCTCCAGCAGCACAGCCTTTATCCTGATGGCTCCATCTCCAGGGGAATCTGGGTGTCCCTCAGCCTGTCCCAGGAGCCACACACTGCTCACATCACTAAATCCCAGACTGCTTTGGCTTGGGAGGAACCTTAAATCCACCCAGTGCAACCCCTGCCATGGCAGGAACACCTCCCACTGTCCCTGATTGCTCCAAACCCCAATGTCCAGCCTGGCCTTGGGCACTGCCAGGGATCCAGGGGCAGCCACAGCTGCTCTGGGCACCCTGTGCCCACCCTCACAATCAGAATTTCTTCCTAAATCTTCCTAAAGCTGTCAGCACAAAGTGCAGTAGTGGTGTAGCTGCAGAGCTCCCTGTTCCCAGAGGGTCAAACCCCATCAAAGCCTGCCCTGCCATGGGGTGTCAGGGCACCCCAAGGGTCCCAATGGAGGCTGAAAGGCCCTGGAGGCATCAGCAGCTCCCCCAGAGCCCTGAGCTGTGCCAGGGCCACCCTTGTGGCAGCACAGTTTGTTTTCTGGAATGTATTAAATTGATCTGACATTGGCAGCTCGAGCCTGCCCTGGCCTTGTCTCCCTGCCACACACACACGGGACATTTTAACAGCCAATAATTGCATATTCACCACCCCCCTGTCAATACTTTGCATTTTCTCAAGCCTTTCTTTGCCAGGTGAAATTGGAGAGCTGGGAAGTCCTGGCTGCCCAAGGATCTGCACTCCTGGCACAGGCAACAGGTTTGTGCCCTGAAGACAACAGGGATGCTGCAGGCTTTCACCAGTTCACTAATTTAAAGCAGCTGTAAATGAGATTAAATCTCAGCAGGTATCTTCTGTTTATCACAAGGGTCAAGGGTTCACTCCGAGGTTAATAAATTCTCTGGAATAAAAAGGCAGCACTCAGGTGGCTTCAAGGAAAACACCAGATCAAACCGAGCTAAAGAGTAAAGGCATTCTAGCAAGATGATGAATGTATTAAAAATAATCTGCCTGTGCATTACTCACACTTCAGATCATGGTCACAGAGCATGATATAATTCTAGTTTACCTCTCATTATTTATGCTGAGTGATTTTTTTTTTATTTGCATTTGCCTCAGCTGTTATGATAAAACAGGGAGGTCAATCTCATCTGCGTTCGTGGGACTCAACAAACCATTCTAATTCAACAAAGCAGTTTAAGGATCTGCTTGTAACTTTGCTTCACTGAACAAGGAGGCATTTATGC